GAAGGGTTTAGGGTTTAGGGTTTAGGGTTTAGGGTTTAGGGTTTAGGGTTTAGGGGGCTTGTCCCGTTTCTCAACCAGTGTTGATATGCATGTTAGTGGAGTAAGTTTATAAGATAAGGGCGTCTAGGGCTCATAGCGTAGGCCTTCAACCTTGTATAGAGCTTAAGGCTCAAAGGGCACGGGGTCGGGTATGGCATCCAAGCTCTACGAGCCGTATGGCGCCTATGAACCGTAAACCCCCGGAATTTTTTCAAGTGCAGCGTTCATGTCTACGGTCTTCAACTGCAGCGTTCATGTCTACGGTCTTCTGGGAGCCCCGAAAAGCCCTTGAAAGCAGGAGTGTGCACTGAACCCCAAACCCCAAGCCGCAAACCCTGAACTGCTGCTTGCGGTGCTTTGGTGCGAGCGATACGCTGCCACTGCCGCGAGCACGACGTTACGTGCATCGGGCGCCGATGACGGGCGCACACCGACGAAAATCCAATGCACGGCTTGGACGGCCGGCTTACTCGCCCGTGCAAGTACCGCCATGAAGGAAATTGTGGGTACGTTGACCACGCTCAATTTCATTGCAGCTCCGCAGAAGGCGGTCAACCTCAAGGAGTTGTGTGTTGTCTTTGTTACAGCTCCAGCTAGCGTTTCAACACGTCCATCGGCGTCATCCAGTTCGAGAAGGTAGAAATGCGAAGGAATGCGACTACGACCAGTACTACGACCACCGCTACTGCTGCTGCGACGAATTGGCACGTGCGGCTGTTGCGTCAGGTGGTCTCATGCAAGGAGGGTTCGAAAGAATCTGAGCTGCGCGCGGAGGCCAGGTTCTTGGGATCACTAGGCCTGTTGCACAGACAGCATGTCAAGCGATGCGTGCATCGTTTGAAGCAACATATGGTAAAGTGGAAGAAAGCTTTCTCCTCCCGACTGCTTCCGTCACAACTATTGCTCCGGAATTGACCACAACGACTACGCAGGTATGCTTGACTGTCAATCACCCTCCTGTTGCACAGGCTGTCCAGAAGGGTAACTCCATGTCAGCAAAACAACTAAGCTTATTAGGGTTCAAACGCAAGGGCAAAGCCTTCCTCTCAACAGCCTTAATGCCGAGAACAGCGCCAAATTCGGGGGTCTTTGATGCCGTAGGACTTGGTGTTGGTGACGAGAGGGCAAGCAATGCCTCTTCCCTTTCGACCCTCTGTACCCGAAATACCCCTGAACCCAAAAGCCTAACTAAGTACACCTGCACCCATGAATGCCCCCCCGCATACCCTCATGAACCCCTACATACCCCGAAGCCCATGCATCAGGGTTTTAGGGTTTAGGGTTTTAGGGTTTAGGGTTTAGGGTTTAGGGTTTAGGGTTTAGGGTTTAGGGTTTAAGGTTTTAAATACCCCTCTCAGCTCCAGAGGCCATCAAAGACCCCTAAGCTCAAACCCTTTAAATCCCTTAAATGCTCTAACTCCTCTAAATACCCCTAAACCCTGAACCCTAAACCCGAAACCTAAACCCCAAACCCCAAGCCCCAAACCCGAAACCCCAAGCCCTAAACGCCTTTCGGGGGCTTGGGAGGCCTTCGCAGTGCCTTCGGCCGAGGGCGCGGTGCCTGCAGGGGCTGCGGGGCGTCGGCTGCCCCAGACCAGGCCCCCTGTGCTCTCTCTTTTTTTAGGGTTGAGGGTTTGAACCCCTAAACCCTAAACCCTAAACCCTAAGCCCTAAGCCCTAAGCCCTAAGCCCTAAACCCTAAACCCTAAACGCCCCGGGGTTTAGGGTTTGTTCTGATGCCTTTGATTCTACCCTAGCCCCTAAACCTTAAACCTTAAACCCTAAACCCGAAGCCCTAAACCTTCAACTTGAAACTCAGTGGCTTCTATCTAAGGGACCATCGAATCTGCGAGTTTGTATCGTGTTCCAAGCACGGTGAAGCTCAGACGTTCCGTGGGTGTTGGGCTTGTAGGGATTAGGGCTTAGGGTTTAAGGGTTCAGGGCTTTCGTTGCGGTTTCTCTTTGGGGGGTGAATGCCCTTGAAACCCTTAAGCGGAAGCAAACCCCCCTCAACCCACCCCAAATCCCCACAAGCCCGTTTCAAGAGCCCTTCAATCCTCCCACCCTTAAGAACTCAAAGTTTCGGCTGGAACGGGGCTTCAACAAAACCCGAAACCCAAGAAATCGACCCCAAGCGGCCCCTTTATGTACAGTTATACCGTGACAACCCCCAAAAACCTTATTTTGATGATTAAGGTTCCTATAGTAGCATTCTAGGAGCCGGAGACCCCTAAGTGCTCCCAGGGCCTCGGCCGAGACCCTGTCCAACCTCCTGCGGGCGACGGGGACTGCTCTCGCCGAGGGCTGCCCGGAACTCGGCCGGGGGGGGGGGGGGGGGGGGGCAGGAGGGCTGCTCGAAAGGTTTGTTTAGGGTTTAGGGTTTAGGGTTCAGGGTTCAGGGTTCAGGGTTCAGGGTTCGGGGTTCGGGGTTCGGGGTTCGGGGTTTGGGGTTTGGGGTTTGGGGTTTTGCTTACAAAGTAAGGAAACCGTATATTCTAACCTTCATCAAGGTATTCTTAACTACCCGTGTGTGAGCCTTTAAGTGGGCTGGTGGCCCGATAAGATTTATAGGTTCTGTGTGAGGCCTAACCCTAAACCCTAAACCGTAAGCCCTAAACCCTAAACCCGAAACCCTAAACCCTAAGCCCTAAACCCTAAACCCTAAACCCTAAACCCTAAGCCCTAAACCCTAAACCTTAAGCCCTAAACCCTAAGCCTGAAACCCTCCCCCCACTGGCGAACGGCTCGAGGCCCCGCCGCGTCTGCCGCTGCCGTCGCGGCTGCAGACCGCCTGCTGGAGCTTTCGCCGCGGAAGCCGCCCGGTTTAGGGTTTAGGGTTTAGGGTCTAGGGTTTGGGGTTTGGGGTTTAGGGCTATAAGCCCTACTACTTGAAGGTTCACGGTATAATAAGTAGGGTTAGAAGAGCCTCAATTGAACTCTCAAGTGCAAGCCTAAAATCCTGAAGCCTGAAGTGCGCACCTTAATCACCTTAAAGTCCTAGACCTTAAGGCCCTTAAAGCGACACCCAAACCGGACACCACAAACCCCAAACCCCCACACCAACGACCCCCCTTCCCAAAAACCTTGAGAGCTTAACTCATAATCCCTCAAAAGACACCCACAAAAAAAGCTCCAGTGCCTAAGCACTGATCAATCAACTCCATTCCCTAAACCCTCCACCCTAAATCTCAAATACACCTTATATAATATCGACCACCATGATAACCCTGTATCAACCATACACAGCCTACATAAACCCCATGTCAGCCCTATATAACCTCTATATAAACCCTATGTAAGCCCCAAATGAACCCTATGCAAACCCTATACAAAGCTTACATAACCCTATGTCAACCCTATATAACCTCTATAGAAACCCGATGTAACACCCCATAGAAAACCCCGAACGCTAAACAAAACCCTAAACCCCAAACCCCAAACCCTAAACCCTAAACCCCAAATCCTAAACCCCAAACCCTAAAACCCCAAACCTTAAAACCCCAAACCCCAACCCCAAACCCCAAACCCCGAACCCCAAACCCCAAACCCCAAACCCCAAACCCCAACCCCCAAGCCCCAAGCCCCAAACCCCAAACCCCAAACCCCGAAACCCGAACCCTCGAACCCCGAACCCCGAACCCCGAACCCCGAACCCCGAACCCCGAACCCCGAACCCCGAACCCCGAACCCCGAACCCCAAACCCCAAACAAACCCCAAACCCCAAACCCAAACCCCAGACCCCAGGCCCCAAACCCCCCCCCAAACCCCCCAACCCAAACCCAAACCCCAAACCCCAAACCCCAAAACCCAAACCCCGAACCCCGAACCCCGAGCCCCGAACCTCGAACCTCGAACCCCGAACCCAAACCCCAAACAAACCCCAAACAAACCCCAAACCCTAAACCCTAAACCCCAAACCCCAAACCCCAAACCCCAAACCCTAAACCCTAAACTCTAATGCCTAAGCCCAGGACCGCCAACCTCGCCCGGGCCTCCGCGGCGCCCCGCGCCGAGGGCGCGGCGCCCTGGCGCCGCGCGGCGGCGGCCGCGGAGGCGGCGCTGCCCAGCGCCGCGGCTTCGTGGGTTTAGGGTTTAGGGTTTGGGGTTTACGGTTTGGGGTTTAGGGTTTGGGGTTTTGGGTTGGGGTTTAGGGTTTAGGGTTTAGGGTGTGTATGTACGTTTTGAAGATTGGGGATAAGGGATTTGGGGGGGCGTGTTTCGTACGCAGCTGGGGGGCACTCAGTAGCAGCCGCTCGAGCCATAGCGTCTGGCATCCGGTTCCTCCCTTGTGGGTTGAGACAGCCCGGCTCTGCCTTTTGTTTCCTTGTGTCCTGCCTGCCCGGGAAGTCTGCTTTGCCGCCATTGGTCGGCATTCTCATTCGCACCCTCCTGAGTGAGTTGTCCGGCCATGGCTCCGTCCCCCGGCGTTCTTCGCCTTCTGCGGTTACTGGTGTTGGGGCTTGCGTGGCCAGCGCAGACTGCATTGTGCCATACATTCGTGCACACTGGTGAGCTGGAGGTTGGCCCTGCGCGGTCGCTCCGGCCTGTTCTCCATCTCCCTGCATCGATTCGGCGCTGCGAGCGTCGGCGTCATTGCTGTCTTCATCCGGTCACTTCGCTTGAGCACGCTTCTGCGGCCTGTTGGGACCCCTTAGCGGGCTTCGGTCATCGTGCCTCTCCCGTGTGGGGTCGCCGTTGCAAGCGGTTGTTTGAAAAACAGCGCCGCAACTGGGGCCAGCGCAAACTGCGCCGCCGTTGCGGGTACTGCGCAGTCCGCGTTGGTGAGGCCTCGCTTCCGGGCCCCTCCCCGGACCGGGATCACTCACCTCCTTCTGCCGAGCCCGCGGCCCTGCGTCGCCGCGTCCACGCACCTGAGGCTGCTGTGCGCTGCTTTTGCCCTGTGCCTGGGTGCGGCTTGGGGGATCCCTTGCGCTCCCGGGGCTGGGGCTCTCACCCTGCAATGCGACATCATCTCGATGACCACTGCTCAGGCCAGTTGTCAGGGGCCGTCCCGCAGGAGTACCTTGATGCACACAGCCTCGACACTTGCACGGTTTGTGGTTTGTTGGTTAAGCGGTACTATAATGGGTCCCACCCCCGCTGTCGGCCTGACTCGCGTGCTCAAGCCGCCCGTCCGGGCGCCGTGCCTCCTGCAGCGTCTGCCGCCGACCCTCTTCCGAACTTTGCTGACGTGCTGGCGGCAGAGGTTCCTACCGTGCGGCATGTCCCTAAGGTTGCCCGTGCAGCCTGGGCCCAATGTCTGGCTCGCGCTATTGCCTCAACAGTAGCACGCAACACCCCTGCCGCTTGGTTGGAATTATTGATGCTCCCCAAAGCCGTGCTTGTCGCTCCTCTCCGTGGTGGGGCTCGCCACCGAGCCCAATTGGGGCAAGCCACCAAGCGGCGCTGCTTGCGCTGGCTCGATGGTGAGAGGGTTGAGCTGTGGGAGGAATGTGTGTCTGAGCCACGCCAACGTAGCGGTCCGACTCGCCTGTCCCTTGAGGCCCGCCACTCCCGTTGCCGCCGCCTTGCCGCTGAGGGTGATCTAGCTCGAGCGTGTGACGCTCTGCTCCAGGAGCCGCCTCTACCCCGTGATGCTGCCACCCTCGCTGCTCTGCAGGCCAAACACCCTCAAAGCCCACTGCCAGACCTTGCTGCTTTGGGCGCGCCTCGTCCGGGCGCTGTGCCTGAGTTCAGCGCAGAGGCTGTTGCCAAGGCAGTGAGAAGCTTTAAGCGTGCTTCGGCCCCAGGGCCGTCGGGGCTTAGGCCCGACCACCTTCGTGAAAGCTTGTCCACTGCTCACGCAGACGAGGTTGCTGTGCATCTTGCGGCCTTATGCCACCTCTTGGGGAGGGGAGAGGCCCCCGCTACCCTTGCCCCTCACTTGGCCGGGGCTACGCTGCACGCCTTGCCCAAGCCTCAGGGGGGCGTGCGGCCTATCGCCATTGGGGAAGTTTTGCGCAGGTTGGTCGGGAAACTGTTGTGTGGGAGCGTTCGCGAGGCCGCTCGTGACCAGCTTTGGCCCTTGCAAGTCGGTGTAGGTGTGCCCTCAGGAAGCGAAGCTGCCGTGCACGCTGCGCGACACTGGCTGCAAAGCCATTCTGGGCATGAAAACCGCGTCCTGGTCAAGCTTGACTTCCGCAATGCCTTTAATGCAGTGTCTCGCACGTCCGTTCTCCGGGAGGCCCGCGCCCGAGTTCCGGAGGTTTCTTCTTGGGCCGACTGGTGTTATGGACAGAGCTCCCGGCTCCGTTTTGGAAAGCACGTCGTCGCTTCCACATCTGGGGTGCAACAGGGCGACCCTCTAGGTCCCCTTCTGTTTGCCTTGGCCCTTCAACCAGCCCTTGCAGCGGCCGCTGCAGCGGCGCGCCTGGACTTGTGCTTCGCGTACTTGGATGACGTCGTGTTAGCTGGCAGCCCTGCTGACGTGGCGAAGGCCTTGCGTGCTCTCTGTGAGGTTGCCGGCCAGGCCGGCCTTATCCTCGAGCCCACCAAGTCTGAAGTTGTCCTTCCTGGCGCCGCCTGCAGCCCTGACCTCCGCGCCCTGCCGCCGGGCCTGGTACGCCGTGTCGGCGAATTCGAGCTCCTTGGTGCGCCCATAGGGGGTCTCTCTTTCTGCAACCAACACTGCGTGACCCACCGTGTTGATAAGGCACAAGCTTGTCTGAACGCCCTTGCTGAGCTACCGGACTCGCAAACCGCGCTCCTCCTACTTAGGCATTGTGCTTCCTACACTAAGTTGGCCTATTCCATGCGGGTGACCCTGCCGGCGGCCCATGCAGATGCCTTGCAAGAATTTGACAGTCGCGTTCGAGCCTCGCTCGAACTAATCGGGGGGCTCCAACTCACTGATCGCGCTTGGCAGCAGGCGACCTTGAGAGTTGCTGCCGGCGGTTTGGGGCTGCGCAGCGCGGCCAAACACGCCCCCGCAGCATACATTGCCTCCGCCTCCTCGTGCTCGGAAGCTTGTGCTGCGCTGTCGCCCACCCGGCAGCCCAATACAATGCGACGGTGGCCCCTGATGCTGCGCTCCCCCCTCAGCCTGTGCCCGTTAGGCAGCAAGAGTTGTCAAACGCCATTGATGCCGCTGAACGGCAGGCCTTGATTGCCTCTAGCGCGGGCGAGGCTGACCGTGCGCACTTGCAGTTGCTGCAGCAACCAGGAGCCGGTGCCTGGCTGCTAGCCCGCCCAGCCGAAGCCCTCGGTCTGGCCCTTGAGCCGGCTTTCTTCCGCGTTTTGCTCCACCTCCGCCTTCGCCTCCCCGTTGCACCGTCCGAGGGCTACTGCCCGTTCTGCGATGGAGTGGCTGACCGGTTTGGAGACCACGCCCGCGTGTGCCCATGTGGGGGAGACCGCTGCAAGCGCCACAACCGGCTCCGCGCGGTTCTCGCCGAGCGGGCTCATGCTGCAGGCTTATCCCCTGAGATTGAAAAGCCAAACCTCCTCCCCGCCCGCCCTGCTGAACTTGGAGCCTGTGAGGCAGGCGCAGTTGGGGAGTCCGTCGGGGGTGGCCGCCGACCAGCCGATGTCTTTGTGCCTCATTGGGGGTTGCACGGGCCTGCAGTGTTCGACCTTGCCGTCACGAGCGGCTTGCGATGTGGGGCAGCTGCCGCCTCTGCTGCAGATGGCTCTCACACTTGTGCGGCTTACGAGGAACGCAAGCGTTCCCATCTTAACACGGCAGCCCTCTGCCGAGACCAGGGGCTGCAGTTCCTCCCCCTCATTGCGGAATCATCCTGTGGTGGCTGGGGACGTGAAGCAATCAAAGTCTGGCGCACACTCGGGGCGCTCCTGGCCGCTAAGTCCGGTGATGGATCGGGCGCGGCCACCGAGCAGCTTTTGCAGTGCCTCAGCGTCACGCTCCAGCGTGAGAACGCCCGTGCCGTCTTGCGCCGCCTGCCCGATGGCGCGCAGTCCGCCTCCACTCCGCTGCAAAACCCGTGATCCCGAATGCTCCCAAGCTGGGCGCCCGTGACAGAGCAGACCTCTGCCCTTGCTTATCTTGCTTGCCCTCTGTGCCCGGCCTGCCTGGCCCTTTTCGCACCTGACCTCTGCTTGGGCTCGTCGAGCTTCCTCTGACCTCCGCTTGGGTCCGTCAAGCTTCTTGCGCGTAGCTTGTAAAGTAGCACACGCTGCTACGGCCCATCGGCAAGCATGGGGCTGGAGGTCTTGCGGGACGCCGGGGACTCCTGCAGGTGTCGGGGGTTCGCCCTACGGCCGCCTTGCTCTCTGCCTTCTGATGGTGGGGTGGACGCATCCTACATCACCGGGTGTCGGGCGCGAGACTCACAAACAGGTTGGACGCGGGGCTTTGGCCGTGCCGCATTTTGTTGGGCTTGTTCACAAGCAACGTCAGCCCCAAACCCTTAACCCAATGAGGTTTGAGGGTTGTACATGACTCGAAAGTCTTTAGGGACGGCAAAGGGCTTTGGGGGCTTTAGGGCTGATGTGCAGCTTTCTGGTCAGTTCCCCATCTGCCCCTTATGTGAGGGTTTACCCAAATTAGGGGACCCCCAGAATAGACCCCCTAAAGAGTAGGCTTCCCTGGAACACGAGGGTTTCCGGAAGTTCTGCAAATGCTGACAACAGGGTCTGCGGGTTAAGAGTTTCATGGGTGTGGGCGCCCTTTCAAACCCAAAACCCTAAACCCTACGCCCTAAGCCCTAAACCCCAAACCCTAAACCCTAAGTCCTTAACCCCGAACCCTTGTGGGGCTTAGGGCCCGAGGGAACAGCCAACCAAAGATACCCTCCTTGAACCCTTCCCTTAAGGACCCTATAAATAGCCTAACCGTAAACCCGACTGCGCCCACGCACCAGCCAGACTTGCTTAAGCAGTTATCACAAAGTCTGGGATGCACCTGGCAACCCCAAACCTTACAGCCATACTTGAAGGTTCATGTAAAGGAGGGGCTAGAAGCTAGGGTTACGTTCTTATAACCTTACTTGTTTCTTCCCATGAGCCTCTAAGTAGTAGAACCCTAAACCCTAAACCCTAAAGCCTAAAGCCTAAACCCTAAACCCTAAGCCCTAAACCCTTAACCCAAACCCTAAACTCTAAGCCCTCAACCCTAAACCCTAACCCTAAGCCCTAAACCCCAGTGACACATCACATAGGCCTTAGGGGGCGACTTGGACCTGGCTGATTTTAGGGTTGGGGTTTAGGGTTTAGGGTTTAGGGTTTAGGGTTTAGGATTTAGGATTTAGAGTTTAGGGTTTAGGGTTTTTAGCTTAGTGGTTAGGATTAGCCCTAGACCTTGAACCCTAATCCCTACAAGTAGTTGGAGCTGTAATTTGATATTGTTGCTGGGAGGGCCAGAGGCCCAACTTGCCAGGCACGAAGGGGGCCATTTTCGACAGGCCCCCCGCATAACCTCTCAAGCCCCGATATAAAAACTCCCTAGACCCCCTAAGCCCTGAAACCCCCTTAAGTCCCAAACCCCCTAAACTCCCTAAGCTCTCCCTTAACTCCTTCCCCGTAAGCTCCGTTACTCCAAACCCTGAACTACCTGAGCCCCCGTCCGTAGCCATTTTGGCTCAAGTGAAGCGCAGCGGGTGCTGCTACTCCACCGGAGCCGCCGACCGCCCGAGGGCGACCGTGCTGAAGCCTCTTAAGCCCAGAGCGTCAGTGAGCGGGAAAGTGCCTGAGACACCGGAAGAACCAACAAGAACTAACAAAAGGAACCCAAGACTACAGTCCAGGAGCACGTCCTAAATCCTTGAGCTGATGACTGGCCCGCCGCCCAAGCACAGGCTCGAGCCATAGCTGATCCAAGCGTGCAAGATGTCGGCCGGGCCCCAGCGCTTCTTGGAGAAACGCGTGCAGCCAGGTTCCAAGTTCGTGCCTGCAACTCAGAAGGCCTTCCTGAAGCGAGCGCAGAAGTCGAGGAGGTGGCGAACAGCGTCCATTCTTCATGGCCTTGCGCCCTATAGCTGCTGAAACAGCTTCGAAGTCATAGTACTGGTCTCCGCCCAATTTCTTCAGAACGGCGGAAGAGTGATGCTTCCGGAAAGACTAGTGTGACCCGACGCCCGAGGTGTACCTTCTCACCAACAACGCTTGGATCATGCGGCGCTGTGAACGCGACTTCAGGATTGCTTCTGCTCGAAGCTTGGCCGAGCAACTTCAGCCAGGGCACCAACTGCACGCATGGCAGGAACTGGATGCCAGTCGACATCAGATGCAGCAGAGCGCGACCTGACTTGAGTAATTACAAGCCAGTAAAGCCAAACAACCAGCCAATCCCTAAATCAGGCACGCCCGCAGCCAAGGATCCCTGTCAAGGAATGAGATGCGGAGACCTTTTGGCAGTATGAGATGCGGAGACCTTTTGGCCTGAGCGCAGTAACTGCGACCTGTCGTCGCATCTGTCAGTGCCAAGATTAACGCTCCTCCTTACAGGGATCCCCAGCAAACTGGGTGAGGAACAAGCGTGGAACCTGAAGAACCGAAGGAACCATCCGAACAGGTGAAGTGTTCAGGGATGCTTCGAGTCCATGCTCACACCTCTTAAGCCCTGAGCGTCAGTGAACTGGAAACCGACCACGTCCTCCCCCAAAGTTGGGCTCGAGCCATTTTTCAGAAACTGGGAAAACTGATCCCGCGAATGTGTCTAGTTCTCGCCGTCGTCGGATCCTGACAAAAAAAAGTCGCGTTCGCACGCGTCGCAGAAGCAGGCATCAAAAAGACATTTCCTGGAGAAGCGAGCCACGCGCTCAACGCACGCGTGCCCTCTTCTGTTTGCAATCTACACGCCACAGAGTCATGGCTACTGAACAGGAAGGTCGACGTCGTGGTCTGCAGAGGCTTCGGAGGAAACTCGACCACGGTGCACGTACCATTCCTAGCAGGGCTTTTTCCACAGTTAATGTGACGCGCGTGTCTCTCTCTCTCTCTCTCTCTCTCTCTCTCTCTCTCTCTCTCTCTCTCTCTCTCTCTCTCTCTCTCTCTCTCTTTTTGTCTCTCTCTTCCACTTGTTTCCGAGGTCGACCGTGGCAGAGAAACTCGCGAAGGAGTGGTTCGGCTGCAGGACTGCGACGGAGAGGTTCTCGCTCGAAAGCAGACAAGCTTTACCCTACCCAGAGACTCCAAAAGTCTTTAAATCATGGTTAAGGGATTATGCGTAAATCTAATTTAAGGGCTATTTGCTTAATTAAAGGGTTTTCTCACACGTGTTAAATAAGGGCTTTTCTTTCCCAATATGTTTCATAAAGACACCGTCTGGCATGCAAGTGAATGATCGATCCAGATCGATGCATGGAGCAGATCCAAGGAGATGTGTGTGTACATATCTGTAGAAAAGAACAATAGGTCTACATGCCGTCCTGTTCTGCCTGCACAATTTTAAAGGCTCGAGCTCAGCTGCATCTTGGCAGATTGATTTGTGTGGAGCATTGGCAAATACTTTTAGGTAGATACGAAATTTCAGATTTGTTTTCCGTTTGCTTAACATGTTTTCATTTAAGAGGTTCTGTGGCAGATCTGCTTGCTGGAGTGACTCATGAGAGTGTGCAGTGCATGCAGAGTAGGAGGAGATGCTGTGAGGTGCAGTGCATGTGAGACTTGTTGTTTGAGCTTCTTTGCCTGCCAGCCAGCTTCTCGGCCCAAGCTAAAGCCTTCAGTGCAGCTCCAGACCTCTGTCTGCCACAAGCAGGGATGTCTTGGCATCATCAGTCAGGTTCTGGTTCTGGTGTCGCTTGGCTGCAGTATTTTTGGCTGCATTTTGTGTGCTCAGATTGTTGCCCAGGGTTCTCTGCAGTCCTGTCGCTGAGGGGTGGGGCTCCAGCTGGAAGGATGGTGGCCGCGACAAGAAGGGTGAAGGCTCCCAGTGGTGGAAGAAGGACGACGACCCGTGGGACGAGGACCCCAATGACATGTCCGGCATCGATGTGAGAAAGTGCAAGAAATGCAAGCACAACTGGTCCTATGTGCGGGAGGGTGGCTGCCTAAACACAAAGTGCAACATGTCAGCATCCAGATTTCAGGAGGCTCTCCTTCACTCTAGGAGGGTCTCCTTCAAGTTGAGCCTTGCAGTTTTTGGGAGGTTCTCCTGTATAGGAGGGTCTCCTCGCTAAGGTGAGCTCTACATCTACTCGGCCAACCGAGAGAACCTCTGGGATCCCTACAGCAAGGGCAGTGGAGGCCGGTGGGACCTGAAGGACTTTGCCAACTACATTGAGCCCACCTTGGCGAAGAAGAAGAAGAAGAAGAAGAAGAACAGGGGCAAGCAGCGAAAGGTGTGGTGGGCCAAGGTCAAGGGGTGGAAGGATGCCGGCGAGCCGGAGTTTCAGCCACCGAGTGATGAAGAGGAAGAAGATCCAGGCCAAGAGGGCCAAGAGCAAGCCGAAGCGGTGCCTTTCCGGCAGAAAGACTTTCAGAGTTTCCTGTGTTGCTTGTGTTTTCTTTGTTCCCGCGAAGCCAAGGCCCAGCAGCACCCGAAGCCAAAGGCCAGGCCCCTGGTTATCCCGAAGAACCCTCCACCGGCTACTGGGCTGCACTGTGTGGCTACACTGTTCTTGTGTCTGCTACATGCATGTGCTTTGTGTGCTCTCTCACACGAGGCACCTCCAGAGAAGAGGGGCAGGAGCTGCGAAGCAGCAGAGAAGAGGAGGGACGGGTCGCCAGCCTCCATGCGGAGCTATCAGAGCTGGACCAAAGTGGATGGCGAGCCGGACGAGGATACATGCAGAATTGTTCGCACAGGAGGCTCTCCTGTCGAGGAGGGCCTCCTTCTTAGTTCGTTCGAAGCTTTTGCCCTTGGCCCTTGTCTGCTCATGAGGAGACCGGTCCCCCCAGTAAGATTGCCAAGACGAAGCCAGCCTCGGAATGCTCCTTGGGCAGCAATAGTTGAGGTCCTGTTGCTTGTGCGCTGCCAAACAAGCAAGCCACTCCCCGGCAGGGCTTGGGGACAGCCAGCCGGTTGCCGTGGATGATGAGGGTCCCGAGGCAATTTGTTTTTGTGAAGGGGATGATTTTGTTTCGGGTTTGTTATCCATGCAGCCTCTCGGTCAGGCCAGTGGTCCACCAGCTCCCGAGGAGGCAGCAGGCCCAGCTGCACTACTTATGCTTTTGAATTCAGTTGCAGGAGGGCTTCTCCTATTGAGGAGGAGCACTCCTTTTTTGTTTGTTTTGGCAGGCCATGGTGACCAAGCCGAGGCCCATGATCCCAGGACTACAGTGGAAGCCATGCTCTGCAGTGCATTGCATAAACTTAGGGTTTAGGGTTTAGGGTTTAGGGTTTGGGGTTCAGGGTTTAGGGTTTAGGGTTTAGGGTTTGGGGTTTAGGGTTTAGGGTTGAGGGTTGAGGGTTGAGGGTTTAGGGGTTAGGGTTTAGGGTTTAGGGTTTAGGGTTTAGGGTTTGTCCGTGTCTTGTTTTTGGAGGAAGCAGAAGACAGATTGAGCCTCGTCGGTGCACCAGTTGAGAGCTGCTTGTCATGCAAGCCAAGCAAGTACAAAGATTGTGTCAAGACTTCTGCAGCTTGTGTCAGTTCGTGACATTTCACGTGTGATCCAGGCTTAGCAGCATCTTCCGGAGCTGATCGATCAGGCAGCATGCACCGAGGTGGAGCGCGCAAAAAGAATAGTGTGTCTGGATTTCGTTCGAGTGCCACTGCCGAGGGAACCCGTTCAAAAAACGTTAAAATTTTTAACGTTTTTTTAACAATTTTTAACATTGATTTAGAAGGGAAACTAAAGGAAAAGGTTGTTAAAAATTATGTTAAAAAAAGTTAAAAATTTTAACGTTTTTTGAACGGGTTTCGTCGACAGTGGCACTCTTCAGGCTTTCGGGTATGGGCCTTATGGTTTAGGGTTTAGTCTTTAGGGTAGACCCTAGGGTCTAGGGTTTAGGGTTTAGGGTTAAGGCTTGAGGCCTCAGGGTTTGGGGTCTCGGGTTCCTGTTGCCGGGTTTAGGCCTTAGGGGTTAGGGTTGACGGTTTAGGGTTCGGGGTTAAGGGTTTAGGCCTTAGGGTTTAGACTTCAGGGTTTGGGGTTTTATGCTTAGGCTTTAGGGTCCAGGGTTTGGGTTGAAGGGTTTGGGCTCAGGGTTTCGGGTTTAGGAATGGTGCTTAGGGTCTAGATTCGGGTTTAGGGTCAGGGTTTAGGGTTCAGAGTTTAGGGCTTAGGATTTAGGGTTCAGGGTTTGGAGTTCAGGGTGTCGGGTTTAAGGTTTAAGGTTTAGGGTTTAGGGTTAGGGGTTTAAGATTTAGGGGTCTGGTGTTTAAGCTTTAAGGTTTAAGGTTTAGGGTCTGGGGTTTAAGGTTCAGGGTTTGGGTTGAAGGGTTTGGGCTCAGGGTTTCGGGTTTAGGGGTTAGTGCTTAGGGTCTAGGGTTTCGGGTTTAGGGTCAGGGTTTAGGGTTCAGAGTTTAGGGCTTAGGATTTAGGGTTCAGGGTTTGGAGTTTAGGGTGTCGGGTTTAAGGTTTAAGGTTTAAGGTTTAGGGTTTAGGGTTAGGGGTTTAAGATTTAGGGTTTAGGGTTTAGGGTTTAAGGTTTAAGGTTTAGGGGTCTGGTGTTTAAGCTTTAAGGTTTAAGGTTTAGGGTCTGGGGTTTAAGGTTCAGGACCCTAGGACCCTAAACCCGACACCCTACACCCCCCCCCCGGTGTGTTTATGTATGCATATATATATATATATATATATATCATATATCATATGTGTATACATAAATACATATATATATGTGTATATATATTGATGTATATATATATATACATATCTATATATTTGCAGATAGCATATATGTAAATATAAATCGATAAATAACCCAAAATAGACATACACAGAAATATACATGTGTATGCATACATATCTGTATATCTGTATATATATATATATATGTATATATATATATGTACGTGTACAACTGTATAGATATATACGTGGAAACATGTATACAAACTTTCTCTCTCTGTGTCTGGTGCTCTTTCTCTTTCTTTCTTTTTTTCCTCAGTATGGGGGTGTAGGAGTGGCCTCCTGCGACACAAGGAGGCCACTCCTTGAAAGCCCAGACATACTCTGGCCGACAATGCCCATCAGTGCCCAGAGTGCTCAAAGGTACCGGTTCCCTCGTGCTCCACTTTAGAAGAACTCGCTTGCTTGCAGTGGCTAAGACGGCTAAGCCTGCGACCTCCAAGGGCAAGTTTGCTGCAAAAGCAGCGAAGAAGGAGCCCAAGGCCGCTGCCAAGGGGACGGCCACACCCAAGTCGCAAGCAGTGAAGACCGAGCCAACAGAAGCAGTGGGCAAGATCGGCATGGAGAGAGGCCAGCTGTCGGGACTGCTGACCTCGCTGTCCTACCAGTGCAAGGCCAAGAAAGCCACCCCCGAGCACAGAGCAGCAGCAGCGAAGATCCTCAGCGACTACAAGGCAGCAGACGTGAGTGGCAAGAGCAAGATCTTGGAGAAGCTTGTGCAGAGTGGCATGCACTGCTTGGACTGGGCCAACGAGCTGACGAAGAACACGGAGGTTCAACACGAGGAAGCGAATGAGTTTGTGAAAGGCTTCATGACCCGGTGGCTTGGCTGCAGTAATATTTCTTTTTGTTGGGTGTGGGTTGGTGCCCTCACAGATTTGGTCGCAGAGGTCCAAAATCCTGGAGCTCAATGGCCTGAACGAAAGCAACCTTTCAGAGCAGGTGGCAGCCGACACCTTGCAGGACCTCCTGAGAGAGTCCGAGGAAAGGTTCAAGCACACCAGGCAAGAGCAGCCGCACAAGAACAAACTCCTGCATCGCTACTTTTACAAGATGCAGAAGGAGAGCACAGAGAGAGACTCTGCCACCGACACGACTCGGCACAGTCAGACGGGAACCATGGATGGTGGAAGCTTGGGCTCGTTGATGGATGCCTTCGGCAGTGGTGCCGCTTCCAGCATTGAGGTGGACATGAAGGGTGCCTTCAACAAGAACGTTCTTGAAATTGCTGCCTCGCCTGCGAACCCACGAAGAACGTGGTCGTACCGGGACGAATCGTTTGGGCACACATTGTCGAAGCATGCTGTTCGCAGGGGCGGGGAGTTCAGCATGCTCGGAGTTTCAAGGGCAATGTTGCAGAAGTTTGCAGCAAGCAATCCAAAACCACCACTTTTGCGAGCCAGCTCAGTCAAAAAAAGGCTTCAGACCGTGCTTTATTAGCCTCTGTCACGAGACATCATCTTGCATGTACCACACCAAAAAACCTTTAATTAAGAATGCACCAAAAAAACCTCTAATTAAGCCAAAAGCGCTTCTTCGAACCGCACAACTCTTAATTAAGGCGAAAAACCTTCTAATTAAGGTTTGGTTTTACACTTTAACCTTTAATTAAGCTAATATCCTTTGTTTAAGGGCTGATTTCAGCGGGTTTTTTTTAATTAAGGGTCTTTCTTAAATTTAAAGACTTTTGGAGTCTCTGGGTACTCTGCCTAGAACGGGGACCGGGGAACTCAGACTCCGGTTGCTCCGGTCCCGCGCTTGCTGCTCAGCCGCCCGACGTGTCTTTCCACTGCGTTCCAGATCGAAGAACTCGCCTGCCTGCGTCAAAACAAGGGCCGGCTACTACTTCTCAGATTCTCAAGTGGAGGAGACCCTGGAACCCAGTGAACCGCTGGAAGAGTGCGCAGAACTGGAAAAGAAGGGGGCGCAGCACGATAAACCAGGCCTAAGAAACCAATGCGCAGCCAAAAGAACGATGCCCGAAACTAGCCCATCCCTCCTGGCCTCGATCAACGCTGCTCTTACTCTGCCTGCGTTGCGGGTCGGGAACTCCTTCCGCTCGGAAGCAGAAGTAGTCAGAGCTATTTCCAACGCCTACGGCCAAGCCCGTTAAGCCCTGAGCGTCGCCGCGCACGAAGTCCAAGCAAAGATCCGGAGCCTATAAAAAGCGTGCCCCTATCATATAAGATCGGGTCCCTTGGGTAAGGAGAGTATGTAAGTTTAGGTGTTTTTCAGGGAGAGGCTATGTAAGATCAGGTCGTGTGGGTACGGAGAGTACGTAACCTTTGGTGTTTTCAGGGAGAGGCTTCGTAAGAGCAGGCTGCCTGACTTCTAAGTTCTGGTGTTTTTTGGCAGATGCTGCATGGGTCTCCTGCACAGGTTTGTGCGGGCTTCAACACGGGCCTCCTACGGGGACCCTTGGCAACTTGCGGGCTGCTTACGTGCCACTTACGTGCCACTTACCACTTACGCGCCACTTACGGCCACTTACGTGCCGCTTACATGCCACTTACATGCCGCTCACATGCCGCTCAGGCCACTTGCGAACTTACGGGCCCCTCATGGGCCTTCGCGCCACTTACAAGCCTATATAGAGCCATTCGCGAGCCACTTACGGGCCTCTGGCTGCTTCGAGCCTTCTGCGGACCTGGTCTTGGAGTTCGAGCGACGAGAGCTTGCTTGACGAATGCTGCGCCCGTTCGACTGACAAAAAAACGGGGCCCTGACAAACCCTGGATCGGGTTGAATTCTCACGAGAGCTTACTCAAAGACAGGGTCGACGCAAAAACATGCTTACACAGGATAGCCAAGCCTCAGCCCTTTTTGACCTTACAAGCTTCTCATTTGCTCTTCCCCGAGACATCCCCTCACATGTGCCTCACATGCCACTCGCCAGCCACTCACCAACCCAACCGCAACCTCTTATATGATAGGGGCACGCATTTTATAGGCACCTGATCATCCCCTTGACGAAGGTGCCGATGGGCGGCGAAACGAAGCATTGCAGAACCGCAGGTGAAACGGAACCTTCAGTCATTGAGAAGCAGCTGCGACTCTCATGCAGCGGACTCAGCGTGCGCGGGGCCTCAGCCCCAGACCAGAACTTTTTGACCCGCCAAGCGGCCCAACCTGAAGACGCCCAGCTTGCGGTTCAAGCCGTAAACGTTTCTTAGAACTCGAGAGTCCCGGGCGTATTTAACCTGCAAGATGCTCCCGCGAGGGAACCTAGGCAAGCGTGCTCCCGTGTGAGTCACAAAGCAGCAGGCATCCGAGAGTCGTCGTGCGCCACCTCTGAGTGACCTGCCATCCAAGACATGTTCATGCAACAGTCAAGTTCTTGTGTTCAGGCGTGGCTTCGCCACGGACAGAACGTGCGCTACGAGCCCGGTCCTCAGCTACCCTCCAACTGAACCAGCCCGAGCAACTCCCTCGCAGGCCTGGGTAAACGAAGGCGAAGACGGGACCATCGTCGAACACGACGAAGACCTACAGCGATGGATGCCACTCGCCCAGAATCATTCGTGCTGCCCAGAGCCTGTAACAAAAACACGAAGGAGATTAGCGGTGCGCAAAAAAACACGCAGCATGACGCCACCGAGGCCCTGCCTGGATCTGCAGGCAGGGGTTTCTCCCAGACCGCGCTTTTTAGGTCATCCCGATACCACAAAGTTTGGGAAGACGACGCTTTGTGTGTGTGTGTGTGTGTGACTCAGTCCGTGCGCTACCGGTGCAACGCGTGCTGCCACCTCTCGGATCAACCTTGTCGCAGCACTTGTCAGCTTGCGCGCAGGCCTTCTTATCTGGTGCAGGCTCGGAATCCCCTCCGACTGCCCCTACCCTGAAAGCCCCGCTAAACAGCCTAAATGCCCAGACTCCAAACCCTAAACTCCCCAAGCCTCACCCTAATCCGTAAGCGCTAAACCCCAAACCCTAAACCTAAAACCTTAAATCAGGCCTCGGCCCACGGGAGCTTGCCAACGCAGGCCGAGGCTCCGGCCAGCGTGGCGATGCTCCTCGGACCGTGGGGGGTAGTTGCAGAACCGTTCTTTAAGCCCTATAAACCCTATTAAAAGAGTTCTTAAGGAAAAGGGTTCAAGGGGGTTGTGTAACCTGAGGCCCCCACTACTTCGTAAGGCTCCCTAAGCTTCCCTTAAGGTTCCCTACGTGCCTACCCCCCGTGAACCTCCCTTCCTTATATAAGGACTCTCTCGCCTATAACCTTGCAAACCCTACAAGCCCCATAAGCCGTATAGTGCTCTAGAACAAACCCTATATACGCAAACGTTCGTGCACGGTCTGTCGAAGAATGGGAAACCCATTTCCGCCATTATCTTGGGCACGTGCAACTCACCCCAGATGCCCTGTAAACCCAGAAGCCTGCAAGCCCTATATGCCCTCAACCCCATGAAGCCGAAAACCAATAAACCCTATAAACCCCACATACCCTATACACCCTGTAAACCCTATACTATCCTACGATGCCCCTAAAGCACCGTTCTATCACGATTCGGGAGTATAGGATTGGATGTATGGATTTGGTGTTTTGGGTCGAAGGTTTAGAAGGAGTTTAGTTTTAATCAGGGAGTTTAGGGAGATTAAACCCTAAACCCTAAACCCTTAAACCCCACACCTCCACACTCTGCGCTCCAATTGTATTTTCCTAGTCCGAGCAATGTTCAACGTGCGCGCCTGCGTCTGGAGAGCGCCGCTATTCTTCGTAGCCCAGTGGTGCCCGCAACCACTTTTCTGGCTTCAATGTTCTCTTATAAAGTAGCCAACGAGGGAGTAGGGTTTGGGGTTTAAGGTTTGGGTTTTGGTTCAAGGTTCCCTTAAGAAAGTAACCAGCCCAGAAACCGGTACCTTTATTAAAATATTTGTACGGGGGTACCAAGTTCTTCTAAAGCAGCCTTCTTTGACATGCCTGTGCCGAGGTATTCCATGAGATGCAGTGATGCTGAGCGCGGCGTTCATCGTCGTGCCAGTCGGGCGACCTCGGGCCAAAATGTACAGCGGCCCTCGCCATTGTACAAAGACGCCCACTTCGGCGGCCTTGCCGTCTTGCCGACCAGGGTTGGGTATACAAGAATTCTTGGGGTCAGAGTGTGAAGTTTTAGGGTTTGGGGTTTGGGGTTTGGAGCTCAGGGCTTAGGGTCTAGGGTTTGGGGTTCGGAGCTCCTTGCCCCTGCACCCCAAACCAAAGTGTGCTTCGATTTACGTCGGCAGGTCGGTGGGTTGGCTTTCCGGGTCAACGCAGTGTCACCCAGCAGCAGCAAAAACAAGCGCCCAGACCCCAAGTGCCCCAGAATGCCAGACTTCAAATCTTGCACCCTCTGTTGTTGATCAACACAACAGGCTTTTGCTACTTTTGCTCTAATTCAGTCTAGGTCACCAATAGAGGCCCACACTATAATCAACCCCTAAACCGTAAACCGTAAACTCGTAAACCGTAAACCCTAAGCCCTAAACCCTAAATCTAAACCCTAAATCCTAAACCCTAAACCCTAAACCCTAAACCCCCACCGAGTCGTGACGTCCGGAGCGCCTCTGGACAGGTCCGAGTGCAGCTGAACCAGGAGGAGCTGCTCGTCTGTCTCACGGCCTGGGGTTCCCAGCTGCTCCTTCAGGGTTTAGGGTTTAGGGTTTAGGGTTGATTCCCCAAGCCCTGAACCTTAAAACCGCCGATTTTCGCACGTCTGGACCTGGAATGCTGGATCTCACTGGGGCGCCTTCACCTTCGGCTTCGGCGGCTTCCGTCTTGGGTGCTCGTCAGCGCGTGGCGCCGGAAGGACAGTGATGTTCGGAGACCGCGCGCTCCGCGGCGATGCTGGCGCGTGGCTTGCCTTCAGGTCGCAAGCCGCCTTTGGCTTCTGTGAACCTCAACTACTTGAAGGTTCATGGGTTGTCTACAAGTCTACAAGCAAGGCAACCTACCTTCGAACCGACATTAAGGTACGTTTAACCCCGCTTATGACTACACATGAACCTTCAAGTACGTCGCTGAGTTGTGCCCCGCCACGATGCTGATTCGACGGATGTTGCTGCCGCGGAGAATTGGGTTGCGGGGGTTTAGAGTTCAGGGTTTAGTTCAGGGCGATTTACGTCTTCGGGTTTCGGCAATAAGTACGAGGGATGTCCCCATACCCCTATCTGTGGGCATAAGCTACCCAAGGTATATGTTCTGACTTGAGTTCAAGGAACATGTCGTGTCGTTGGCCACGCCGTTCAAGCCAACCTTTCCCAGGTAGGCCCTGGCGATATGGTTGACCGGTCGAGAAGTGGAGGCTTTGGTTTGTGCACTTCCCTTGTTGGAATCGTATTAAGGGATGCTATTCAGAGGGTTGTGAGGGCATAAAGCACGCAGACCTAAAACCCATATCTTAGACTCTAAATGCCCTCAGCCCTAAACCCTAAACCCTAAACCTGAAACCCCAAATGCCCTAAACGCTCAGACCCTGAAATTTCGGGGTTGGGGGGGGGGGGAGGTAGGGTTTAGGGTTGGGGGTTTAGGGTTTAGGCTTTAGGCTTTAGGGTTCAGGGTTCAGGGTTGAGGGTTTAGGGTTCAGGGTTTTGGGAGGCTTGGGGATGTCGGGGTTCGAAACTGCAGCGTGCGCTGCCCCGAGGCTCTGGTGCAACCCCTGGGTGGACGCGGCTGCTACCTGGTCCACACAGGCGTTAGGGGTTTAGGGTTTAGGGTTTAGGGTTTAGGGTTTAGGGGTTTAGGGTTTAGGGTTTCGGGGTTTAGGGGTTTAGGGGTTTAGGGGTGTAGGGGTTTAGGGGTTTAGGGGTTTAGGGGTTTAGGGGTTTAGGGGTTTAGGGGTTTAGGGGTTTAGGGGTTTAGGGGTTTAGGGGTTTTGGGTTTAGGGGGTCGGGGTTCATATGTGTTTAGGGTTATATGGGGGTGCAGGGGTTGAGGAGTTTGGAGGTTTAGGGCTTTGGGGTTTAGGGATTTAGAGGGGTTCATGGGTTCAGGGGTTTGGGGGGTTAGTCGGATGATTGAGGCTCTTCAGGGATGTCGGGGTCTTTATGGGGTTCTAAGCATTCTTTGAACTTACAGGGAACTAGAGGGACCACAGGGATCAGAGGGAGCATAGGCCCCATACTAATCCTAAACCCCAAGCCCCAAGCCCTGACCCCAAGCCCTGAACCCTTCTTCTGGTAAGATTGAAGGAGCTATTGGGTTTGGGGGTTTCAGGTAGAGAGACGCAGGGGTGGCCCGGGGTTTGTTCTTGGGCTGGCCTGCTTGTGGCTCTACGGCCCCTTCTAGGGTTTCGGGCTTAGGGTTGAGGGTTCATGGGTTATGGGTTCAGGGTTTAGGGTTTAGGGTTTAGGGTTCAGGGTTTAGGGACAAAATCAGGGGACTCCATTCAAGAGAGCTGTGCCCGAAGTAGGGAGGACAGCGAGATAGTTCGAAGACGAGGAAGGTGGTCTTCTGCAAAGGAACTCATCAAGATTGCTGCCGAGTCTTGTCCTTGTTACCTTCGCCAGGCAAAGTGCGGGTGGCGGTTTTAGGGCCCCAAAGTCTCAAAACCCGCAAGCAAATAGCGCCTAAACCCTAGAACCCCTAGCTTTGCACCCTCAACGAAACCCTAAAGCCACAAGTCTTTTTTTGAACCCGGAGCTCTAAACCCCCGAACCCCAAACCTTTGAAAGCAAGACTTGAGATGCTGAACCCAAAGCCCTACCTACCACCATATTCCCCCCGAAAAACCCACCCAAACCCCTAAAAACCCTAAACCCTAAACCCCTCACCCCTTAACCCCAAAAATGTGGCGACACAGCAGGACCCTGAGCAGTCCCTATACCCTACACCCTAAACCCTCCTTCCAGACTGAGGTTAATCCCTAAATTAAACCCAAAACCTGATGGTTTAGGGTTTAGGGACCCTGAGCCCTAAACCCTAAACCCCCTAAACCCTTTACCCTAAACCCTAAACCCTGATTTGTATGCGGCCCACCCCAGCCTCTCTTGCCAGGGCTGCACCCCGCGATTGCTTGGGCTGGGGGCCCAAGTCCTGGTGGGTTTAGGGTTCAGGGTTTCGGGTTTCGGGTGTAGGGTTTAGGTTTCAGGTTTAGGGTTCTGGGGTAACCCTGAACAGTTTCCTATGTTAATATGCCCATCCCCATACCAAACAAACAACCAAGCCCGGGAAACTTCCTTCCTGCGGCACCCTGAAATACTGAACGCAGAAAGGTTTTAGGGCTTAGGGCCTAAACCCTATACCCTAAACCCTAAGCCCTAAGCCCTAAACCCTAAGCCCTAAGCCCTAAGCCCTAAACCCTAAACCCTAAACCCTAAAGAGCGAGGTGTTGGCGCGCTGCCTGGACATCCAACCGAACGAGGCAGCACTTGGGGGGTGGGGGCCGAGCGTGTGGAGGGAACATCCAGGGTTTAGGGTTTAGGGTTTTAGGGGTTAGTGTTTAGGGTTTGGGGTTTAGGGTCTAGGGCATAGAATCCCACTTGGGGTTTATAGGGTTTAAAACCCATGTGGGGTTTGTAGGGTTTAAACCACAGTTTGGGTTTATATGGGTTTGTTGAAACCCAGTTGGGGTTTACATGGGTTTCTAGGGTTTGAACCTTATTCCTGGGAAATCCTGGATCCTCGGGCTTATGGTTTAGGGTTTAAACCGTACTTGCCCTAGCCTAATGAGACTTTGTGTCAAGGAAACCCACCAGAATCCATCGGAAAGCGTTTTTTGTGCTGGAACAATTGCATCGCCAAACACGCCGAGAGCGCGCAGGACCGCATCCGACAAGCCAGTCTGGATCCGGATGCCCACCAAGCCACATACCAGGGCAACTGCATCTGGATGAGCACAGGGTTTATAGGGTTTACAGGGTTTTTAGTTACGAGTTTATGGGTCTATGGGGTTTATAGGGACTATAGGGTTTATACAGTTGATAGGGTTTGAGGAGGGAGACCTCCACGCAGATGATTCTTGATCTCATTCACGAGATTCAGGCCGGAACAGTTCATCTGACATGCTCCGGACGTGCCGATGACGAGGGCCTTCTCGCTTTAGGTGCAACTAGACATGGAAGCGGCGGAATGAATTGAACAGGAAGGGCACTGGTTATTCTGGTTCTTCTGCTGTAACCTTAGATCTTTAGGCTTGGCCTAATGGGCTTAATTCCAGGCCAAAAAACTGTTTTTAGCCAGGCTCCAAAGTGCCGTTTGCGAGCCGGGCAACTCAACAGTGGCGTTCGCGCTCCCAAGCTTGTGTAAGCACTTAGTAGTTTTCAGAAGGGTTGCATTTGACCCATCTTATAATCTCAGTCAAGGTAGCGCTGCTCAGGTACTTCTAATCCTACTTTTGAGCCTTCAAGTATCCTTCGTAGAAGAATCAGAGAAGCCTATGATCCTTCCAACCTTCCTGTGAACAAGGGTTTAGGGTTCAGGGTCCAGGGTTGGAAGAGTTTAGGGTTTAGGGTTCAGGGTTTAGGGTTTGGGGTTTAGGGTTTAGGGTAATTCTTTGTGTTGTTTGGGGGGACTTGAGTGACCCGTCACGGTCGCGCCCCGAAGAGCCCCCCAACCTACTTGTTGTGCAGGCTCTTGTTGCAAGAGTGTGCGGTATTGGGTGCTTTTTTATAGACCTTCTTAAATCCTGAAGACCCAAACCCAAAGCTCTAAACTAAACCGTGGCCCCAAGCCCCCATATCGGCCCTCAACCCTAAACCCTATAAACCCTGTCCCTATAAACCCTACAGACCCTATAAACCCTATAAACCCTATAAACCCTATACACCCTATACACCCCATAAACCCTATAAACCCTACAAACCCTATAAACCCTACAAACCCGATAAATCCTACAGACCCTATAAACCTTATAAACCCTATAAACCCTAAACACCCTATAAACCCTATAAACCCCACAAACCCTACAAACCCTCGAAACCCAACCTACAGCCTGCGAGGTCGTGCTCGACCCGCTCTGTGGCCGCGGGGTTGGGCGGGCACGTTTGGGGAGTGCCTGGGATTAGGCCACCCCTGAACCCTAAAACCCTACACTCCCTAGACTCCCAAACTCCCAAGACCCTGGAACCCTATCAACCCTAAACCCTAAACTTAAATGTTGTAAAGCTTAAACCCTAGACCCTAAACCCTCACAAGTGTTCGGAGTTTTGGCCAGGTCTTGCTTTGTGAGGCGGCCCTGAATTGGCCCCATGGAGGCGCCTCTTTATGTTCTTTTTTTGGGGAGCGGGGGGGGGGGGGGTCAGGGTTTAGGGCTGTTTGGAGGTTAGGGGTTAGGTTTAGGGGTTTAGGGGTTTAGGGGTTTAGGGGTTAGGGGTTTAGGGGTTTAGGGGTTTAGGGGTTTAGGTTTAGGGGTTTAGGGGTTTAGGGGTTTAGGGGTTTAGGGGTTTAGGGGTTTAGGGGTTTAGGGGTTTAGGGGTTTAGGGGTTTAGGGTTTAGGGTTTAGGGTTTAGGGTTTAGGGTTTAGGGTAGGGTTTAGGGGTTTAGGCGTCCCGGTGGGCCTCTCGATGATGTGCCGCTTGCAGAAGATCTTGTTGAGGAATTGTTTGGGAGGGTGTCAGACCCACGGCCCATGAAGTACACCTGAAATGACACCCTAGGACTCCTATTCTATAATTGTTAAGGAAGACTTGTGTAGTTTGTAAGTAGGACTATAAGTATGGTAGCCCATATTATAGCCGTAAGCGCATGTCGTTTAGATCCTCCCGAATTTCAGGGCCCATGCGACGTCCCCACTCTTTCCGGAATGTACTTTTAGACCATGCTACTCAAAAAACACAATGTACCCAGGTCATGGTAACTTAATATGTGCTTTCTTTCATAGCCCTCCGCTCCTTACCTTTGCGAGGTGCCTTCATCGGCTGTGACGCCGACGGCGAGCAGCTCGCGGCAGCCGCGGCCAACGCCGCGGGCATTCGCCTGGCCGCCCCAGTGGAGCTGCTCCGCGCAAATGCCGCCCTGCCAGGAGGGGGTTGTATATAAATGCCTTTACGACAATAAGGGAGCGCCAATGACCCCCCAAAGAGTAGGATTCCCTTACAAACAAGACCCCAATAACCTAATATCGGAAACCCTCCAGGAGGCCTTCCACTGGCCACTGCCTCGGTTCACAAGATCCTGACGGACCTGCCCTTCGGGAAGCAGTTCCTTGGGTAGCCCAGTGGTACCCTTTACCCCCATTTTTGGGGGTTCTGGGTTCCCTTTTAAAGTAACCAACCCCAAAAGGGGTGTCCTTGTTATAATATGTTTACTGGGCAACCAAGGTTCGGAACCCTAGAGGGCAACGAGGCCCTGTACCCTGCCGTGCTTGCAGAGATGTCGCGCGTGCTGCGCCCTGGCGGCCTGGCCGTCCTCTTAACCAGCCAGGAGAATCGGGAGGTTCTGCAGGCAGCCCTGTCCACAAGCCCTTTGGGTGGGGCGTGGTCCGCGGTACACCGCCGAAGCTTCCGGCTCTTCGTGAAGACGGACGCCTGCATCTACCTGCTGCGCCGCACCCCGGCGCCGCCGGCGCCGCCCGGAGAGGCCGTGGAAAGCACGGGTGCCGCCCTGGCGGAGCTCCAGAGGGCCAAGGGCTGGGGAAGCCGGGCCCAGAACGGCTATCGCCTTGCGGGCGCGGCCGGCGCCTTCGCCTGGGAGGATGGCTCCCCCTGGCACGAGCAGTGGGCGCGTGAGCGGCCGGCGCTGGTGCCTTTTGGCCGGAAAGGGGCACGGGCCCAGCCACGAAGCCAAGCAGCCAAAAGGGAGTAACTCGGGATACATGTTAGAGGGCAACCTCCTTCATCTAAGCAGGTAAAACACGAGTTGTTTGCGACCCGCGAACCCCTTAAAGCCTTATAAGCAAGCAGTTTTGAGCCCTAAAGCTTGAATCTTCGAACCAATTTCAAAATCCTAAAGCCCTAACAAACCCTAAAGCCCTTTGGGTACCCTTATCATAGCCTGGTTGCTGGGCTACAGCTTCGCAGGTGTGTTCGCGCGCGCCCCGCCAGAAGTCAGGCTCAAGCCGAACTCCTTTCCACCCAGCGGGCCCTGGCAGCGTGGGAGGACTACACCCAAACTTGGGTTTAGGGTTTAGGGTTTAGGGTTTAGGGTTTAGGGTTTAGGGTTTAGGGTTGAGGGTTTCGAGTTTAGGGTTGAGGGTTTCGAGTTTAGGGTTGAGGGTTTCGAGTTTAGGGTTTAGGGTTCTTCCTGCTGTTGCGGAACCCAATGAAGTTCAGCTACTCTAAGAGCTGTGGAATGGCGGAAGTGATGTCGTATGGCAACTCAACCTCAAAGTCCCCCCCCCCCCGAACAGCAACTCTAGGATATCCTGCTGCGGCGGTGGAAAAAAAAGGACCTAGCTATAGGGTTTCGGAGTCTGCAATAAGTTCTAGGCACCAACAGGGGCACAAGTGGTTGCCTGACCTTGGTCTCCGAAAGTCCAAAGGTTTACGGGTTAGGGTTTAGGGTTTAGGGTTTAGGGTTTAGGGTTTAGGGTTTAGGGTTTAGGGTTTAGGGTTTAGGGTTTAGGGTCAACTCCCCCCTGTAGAGGAAGGAGTTCTATCCCATCACACGGTGAGAGCCTTGAACCGCAAACCTGTCTCCTAAACCTATGCCAGTACATTCGGACTTCAAAAGAAGACTTGGGTTGATCGTAGCTACAGACGTTTTTGAGTACCCCTGGCCCCAGTTCCCTTAAGCGCCAGTCCACGATGCAGTTGTCTACTGCAGTTCCCATGTTGAAACAATGCAGCTCCTTTGTCTATTTGCGTACCACTGCTCTACTGCGGAGGCTCAACTCTGTAAACCCTAAGCCCTAAACCGCACCTGCAGACGTGACTTCCGCAAGCAACTCCTGCTCCCCGCGATTCCCCGGCTCAACCAGAAAAGAGTATTTCTTTTGCCCACCTGGGCCTACATATCATCCGCGAATCGCGGCGGAGGTAAAGGAAAGGATCCTCATGCTGTCCAAAGCGCTGTGCTCTCTCGCCCTTTTGCTCCTGGGTGGCAAGTTTGCGGTTTCGGGACTCTAGGGCTTAGTAATCTAGGGCAAGAGTAGGCCCATTTCCCCCCTATTTTTTGGGTGTAGGTTCCCCTCTCAGCCCTGTCAAACCAAAAAGGTACCCTTTTTGTTCCTCGGTTACTCTTGGGTCACCCTAAACCCTAGACCCTAGACCCTAGACCCTAAACCCTAAACTCTAAACCCAACTTTAAACCCTAAACCCTAAACCCTAAACCCTAAACCCTAAACCCTAAACCCTAAACCCTAAACCCTAAACCCTAAGCCCTAAACCCTAAACCCTAAACCCTAAGCTCTGTTTATTCCGAGGTTGCCCTTGGGTGGGAACTCGGGGCTTGGGGGTTGAGGGGTCTAGGTTTTCGGGGCTTATCCCGGCCTTGGCCGTGGACGCTTCGGGTTTAGGGTACATAGGGTTTAGGGTTTAGGGTTTAAGGTTCAGGGTTTAGGGTTTAGGGTTTAGGGTTTAGGGTAGATCAAAGGCCCGCGCCAGACTTTTGAACGCCAAAGCTCGAAATCCAAGACCCTAAACCCCGTAAAATCCTGTGCAGGATTTACGTGACATCCTCCGAAGCCCCTGAAGCTCTAAATCTCAGGGCTTAGGGTTTAGGGTTTGGGGATAAGAGGTTTTGGGTCTGAGGCTTACATTGCTTTGTAGGGGCAGGGGGGGTCTGCGAATCTTACAGCAGCCTCTAAAACCCTCTGAAAGCCCCTAAGCCCCCCGGCCGTAACAGGGTCGAGGGTTTAGGGGTTTAGGGTTTCGGGACCCTATGTCACCCTATATCACCCTAAACCCCCACATCACACCCTATATCACCTGATATCATCCTAGGTACCCTTTTTGGGGCTTTTGTAAAGGGATTCGAGTATTTTGGACTAGATTTTGGCGTACCCTATTTTCGCAAACTCCCATATCACACCCTATATCACCCAAAACACTAAACCCTAAGCCCTAAGCCCTAGACCCTAAACCCTAAACCCTAAAGCCTAAAAACTAAACTCCACACCCGGACGATCCGAGGCTCCGCGCGGAGGCTTCCGCCACCCCCGCCATGCGCGGCTCCCTTCCACCAGGCCTCGAGGGCTCCCTCCACAGGTTCCTTCCCTAAACCCTCAACCCCTCAACCCTAAACCCTAAACCAGAAACCCTAAACCCCAAAGCCTAAACCCTAAACCCTGAACCCTAAACCCTGAATAAATCCTACACCCTAAGCAAAGGAGAGGATTTAGGGTTTTAGGGTCTTGAGGTTAAGG